CTACAATACTGGCAGCAACAATAAAGTTACGCCTTCTTTCTTTGCGTGAACATTTTGGCGGCGTTATGCAAATCTTCCCACATTGTGACGTAGGTATGTGGGGGCGTGTTAGAACGAGCCGTTTTAGGTAGGCGTGGCTGACTCTTAACTTTTATAAAGAATATCTCTTTGGATTTGAGACTTTAGTCTTTGCAACTTTACAGATCTTCTTTATGCACCAAGAGCTTGTAACACTCCAAAGAGAAAGGAAAAATTGAAATCGCATCATATGACCCCTTTAAGACTAAAATGGCACTTTGAGAAGCTTGATAAATACGGCCCCAGATCTCTGTGTGGGGCACTGGCTGTTGTGAGACAAAAATCTCACCGAATTATTACAATTAAAGACAAAAAGAATGTTTGGAAATGTAAACTGATATTTCCTACTAACACACTAAAGCAAAAGATAGAAATTACTGACTTGAAACCATTTTTAGCTAGTGAAAATACTAGTGTTCTAATAATTTTGTATTTTATCTTGGACCCAATTACGGTCTCGACATGTTTTCACACCTGATTGCTCTAACTGTCTAATTGACATTTATTGTATCTCTTATTTGAAGCCCTAGAGCATATTCTGAAGCAGACGGCAGGAAAGTACTGTGTTGGTGATGAGGTAATAGGCGTTTTGTACTTTATCAAATATATAAAATATTATTAATATAAACAGCAGTATATGATATACACTACTGTTCAAAACTTTGCTTTGGTAATGCTTTTGAAATAAGTCTCTCATGTTCACAACATATAGAGTAGAAGAATAGAATAAAAACAGTAACTTTATATATTTTAACTTTAAATATTATGACTTAAAATCGCAGTTTTCCATTTGAATATATATTAAAATATAATTTATTTTTGTGATGGCAAAGCTGAAATTTCAGCATCATTACTCCGTCTTCAGTGTCACATGATCCGTCAGAATTCATTGTAACGTACTGTAACTAACTTTTTTTTTTGTTAATATCAATGTTAAAAACGGTTGTGCTGCTTAATATTTTTGTGAAAACCATGATATTTTTTTTCGGAATTCTTTGATGAATAGGAAATAAGTTTGCTTAAAAAGAACAGCAATTTTTTTTAAACGGAAATATTTTGTAACATTTAATTGTCTTGAATGTCATTTTTGACAAAAAAAAACAAAACAACCTTACTAACCCTAAGGGTTTGAACAATAGTGTTTACAAAATCTTAACTCTGTTTTAACATGCTTTCAAATAATAACATTGCTACACTTCTAGGTATCCATGGCAGATATTTGTCTTGTGCCTCAAGTCTACAATGCTGAAAGGTACGATGTCTCTTTAAAGCTGACATTAATGTTCATGCAATGCAAAATGCTATATTTGTCATTCTACTGTCTTTTGCCAAAGGTTCAAGGTGGATAAGTCCCAGTTTCCTACTATCAGAAGGTTAAACCAGACCTTAATTGAGGTTGACGCTTTCAAAGCCACTCATCCATCACGTCAGCCTGATACTCCTGATGATTTGCGGGCATAATCTCAATAATGAAATCAATAAAACACTTTGATAAACAGTTGTGTGAGACTCTTCATTAATAAGACAGTTCGGTTTCTTTTTAGCAAAGTATTGCATTTATTGCTTTGGTGAAAAGACTATAGTCGCTTTTTGCAACTTTCAGACATCTATGAACAAGACATGAGCTGTACATACCAGTGACTTAAAGGAAAATGTGTGAGTGCAATGTGAAACATACAAAGTGGACAAAAATACAAATGTGAAAACATGTAAAGTACGTGCAAAATAAGAGAAAACATTTATTGCACAAAAATACATCGAGTCTCTGAATGTACTAAATACAAATCTGAACTACACGTGAGAGAGAGTGAAGGCTTTGCTTGCTTTTAAGGAAATCAATATAAAAACGGTAGCTGTAAAACAGCTGTTCATGCTAAAACTGCATCAATGCAACGTTAAAAAACAAATGCTAAAAGTGCTTCTCAAGTTCAAGTGTTTTCTATCATGTTTCTGTAAGTACCCTAGATTAATTTCTAAGAGAAAAATCCTGTAGTCCCTGATCCTAAACGGGAAGTTCAACCGGGCATTTAACGGTGTCATTATAAAATGTTCCTGAACAATCTGACCCTCCAAATACTAGGATGTTGCTATGACGGCGATCCCTCGGGTCTGAAGATAAAGTCTTTGTAGAGCCCAGGCTTATCAGACTGTGGCCTGCGCGAGGCTTAGAGCAAAGCAATGGAGACACCACTGATGTCCATGAGCTTGTATCTGCAAACATGTATTGTTTTAACCTTTCAATCCATTCAGAACAATATCTGTAAACTAGTCTTTTAAAGAACCTAGAAATCAATGATTTGGGACTTCAAGTCTATTAGTTTTGAGGCCATCTATATGCTGTTATACACACTTAAATGGACACTTCACCCAAAAATGCTAAATCTGTCATCGTTTATTTACCCTTGTATTGTTTCATGCATGTATGACTTCCTTTCTTTGGTGGAACACAATGCTGAAACTGTTTTTGTCCATATAACATCCATCAATCTTTAACTGAACTACTTCAAACTGAAAACCTTCAAACTTCTAGCTTTTCAAACTTTTTTCAAACTTTCTGGTCTGGCTTTCTCAAGCCAACTTCAAAGTTTGTCTTTTCACATTTTTTTTAACCTAGTTTTAGTAGTAATTGTAATTATTTTAGTAACTTTAAAAAAAAAATTACATTAAAATAAGTTTTGAACAACACATCTTAAACCTTTCTTTGGTGGAACACAATGCTGAAACTGTTTTTGTCCATATAACATCCATCAATCTTTAACTGAACTACTTCAAACTGAAAACCTTCAAACTTCTAGCTTTTCAAACTTTTTTCAAACTTTCTGGTCTGGCTTTCTCAAGCCAACTTCAAAGTTTGTCTTTTCACATTTTTTTTTACCTAGTTTTAGTAGTAATTGTAATTATTTTAGTAACTTTTAAAAAAAATTTAATACATTAAAATAAGTTTTGAACAACACATCTTAAACTAGGGGTTTCGAATATTGTTGTGGACAATGTTGGGCCTTGGAGTCAGACACTGCTTTAAAATTAATAATCTTTCTATTTTGGTAAATACAGACCATACATTTTTATTGCATCAATTTTTTTGCAGAATAAAATTCTCTTATTCTGAAAATTGTTCATTGATAATGTGGCATAATACCACCTGCTACTGACTAGCAATAACAAGTAAAAAGGCTATATGCTATTTTCTATTTTAAAAAACCCATCAGTATGTCAAATGTATGATTGTGAAACCATTTCATAGGTCTTTAAGGTATTTCAACTCTATTAGCTATAATATATTTAGTTGTATGTAGTAAATTATGGAATGACAGACCTAAGTTAAAGAGATGGAGGTCCTGTAGGGCTCCTACAGCACTGCAGCCTCCGCTGATCAGCACCCTGTTGTCAGACACGGGTAGAGCAGCGTGAAACCTGCACAGCAGAATGACAAAAAACAAACAACAACTTTACTTCAAAATACATACAGAAATGTAAGTAAATTTCCTTATTGAACTGTAACTGTATTTACAAATTCTGCATTATCAGCTTATTCTATTAAGTTTTCTTTAAAAGAATAGTTCACCCAAAAATGAAAATTCATTAATTACTCACCCTCATGTCGTTCCAAACCCGCAAGACCTTCGTTCATCTTCGGAACACAAATTAAGATAATTTGGATGAAATCTAAGAGCTTTCTGACCCTGCATAGACAGCAACGCAACTACCACGTTCAAGGCCCAGAAAGGAAGTAAGGACATCGTTAAAATAGTCCATGTGACATCAGTGGTTTAACCGTAATTTTATGAAGCTACAAAAATACTTTTTGTGAACAAAGAAAACAAAAATAATGACTTTATTCAACAAATCTTCTCCCCCAAGTTACCGTCCTACGCACATGCATCATGGTGCTCTCGATAATGGCAACTCGGGGGAGAAGAATTGTTGAATAAAGTCGTTATTTTTGTTTTCTTTGTTCACAAAAAGTATTATCGTAGCTTCGTAAAATTACTGTTGAACCACTGATGTCACATGGACTATTTTAATGATATCCTTACTGAGTTTCTGGGTCTGGGAACATTTCAGTTGCGTTGCTGTCTATGGGAGTCAGAAAGCTCTCGGATTTCATCAAAAAAATCTTAAATTGTGTCTTACGGGTTTGAAACGACATGAGGGTGAGTAATTAATGACAGAATTAAAATTTTTGGGTGAGCTATCCCTTAAAAAAGTTGTAAAATTAATATTTTTAAGTCTTACCCACGGGCCAATGGTGGCATGTTCTCGTACTTTACAGCAGTGTATTCCATGAAGCCTTTTCCACAGGAAACAAAAGATTTGGTATACAAGACTGTGATTATATGAAAAACACAGCAGACAGTGAATACTTTCAGATGTTCAGGATCATTACCAAGATCCAGGATGTGAAGATCACTGAGGTAGGTGGCAGTTTTTCTCCCACCAAAAATGATCATCTTGTTTGACAGCAGCGTGGTGGAGTGCCTTTAATAAAATATACATTTTATGACATAGTGGAAAACAGCAGAGGAAGAATAAAAAAGGGTTTTGAATGACATGAGAATGAGTAAATGACACGCTCCTGGTTTTAGTTGCATATACTGTGGATGGTGATTATGAAACTGGATGAAAAGACAAAGCAATACTACTTACCCAAACCTGGGCAGAGGACGGTCACCCTCCACAATCGGCTGATACCACAGACCATGTTCAGGGTTGAAAATGTACAATGCATTACTGCAAACCTTGCCTTCAGGACATCGGCTGGGCTGCACTCCTCCAAATACATACAGCTCCTTCTTATAGAACGTGGCACTGTGGTACGCCAATGACGGTATATTTCCTTTTGCCTATCCCAACCCAAAACATCATAGGTATATACAACCGGAAGTAAATATCTGCTACACCAAAACATACACAAATCATAAGAAGAAATAAATGGTCTAATACTCACAGAAACAAGCTTCCATTTCCAAGTTATAGTGTCCAGTATATAAATATCACTGTATCGCTGGGCGTCTCTCTGACCACCGTACACATAAACAGCTTTAGACTCAGGATCAAAGGTTGCCGAGTGACCTTTTGAGATTGGTGGACTGACCTCAGACGATGAGACGTCCATGGGGAACCAGAAATCATTATCTGAGAATTATTACAGTTATAGGTATAGGTCATTATTAATAAGAAAATTGTAAAAGTAAAACAACAACAAAAAAAAAAGTAAAAGAAATGCCCCAGTTTGTGGTAAGAAACTTCTAGAAATATAATACAGTAAATAAATAATCTTAATTTAGAATGAATGAGTAAATAATTCTATATAATAATATTAATAATTAAATTTACGCAATAATAATTATATAATGTATATTTGCTTGAATATGCTTGTAAAGTCACAGTACTGCAATCATGCAACACTTCTTATTAAACAGTGATTCTGTCCAAATTCCCTTACATATTATTGGTGGAGTTCCCTTTAAAATCTTAAATGATTCCCTTTGAGCTAAATTGACCTGTTTCCCTTACACAACTACCACGTTCAAGGCCCAGAAAGGAAGTAAGGACATCGTTAAAATAGTCCATGTGACATCAGTGGTTTAACCGTAATTTTATGAAGCTACAAAAATACTTTTTGTGAACAAAGAAAACAAAAATAATGACTTTATTCAACAAATCTTCCCCCCCAAGTTACCGTCCTACGCACATGCATCATGGTGCTCTCGATAATGGCAACTCGGGGGAGAAGAATTGTTGAATAAAGTCGTTATTTTTGTTTTCTTTGTTCACAAAAAGTATTATCGTAGCTTCGTAAAATTACTGTTGAACCACTGATGTCACATGGACTATTTTAATGATATCCTTACTGAGTTTCTGGGTCTGGGAACATTTCAGTTGCGTTGCTGTCTATGGGAGGTCAGAAAGCTCTCGGATTTCATCAAAAAAATCTTAAATTGTGTTTCAAAGAACGAAGGTCTTACGGGTTTGAAACGACATGAGGGTGAGTAATTAATCACAGAATTAAAATTTTTGGGTGAGCTATCCCTTAAAAAAGTTGTAAAATTAATATTTTTAAGTCTTACCCACGGGCCAATGGTGGCATGTTCTCGTACTTTACAGCAGTGTATTCCATGAAGCCTTTTCCACAGGAAACAAAAGATTTGGTATACAAGACTGTGATTATATGAAAAACACAGCAGACAGTGAATACTTTCAGATGTTCAGGATCATTACCAAGATCCAGGATGTGAAGATCACTGAGGTAGGTGGCAGTTTTTCTCCCACCAAAAATGATCATCTTGTTTGACAGCAGCGTGGTGGAGTGCCTTTAATAAAACATACATTTTATGACGTAGTGGAAAACAGCAGAGGAAGAATAAAAAAGGGTTTTGAATGACATGAGAATGAGTAAATGACACGCTCCTGGTTTTAGTTGCATATACTGTGGATGGTGATTATGAAACTGGATGAAAAGACAAAGCAATACTACTTACCCAAACCTGGGCAGAGGACGGTCACCCTCCACAATCGGCTGATACCACAGACCATGTTCAGGGTTGAAAATGTACAATGCATTACTGCAAACCTTGCCTTCAGGACATCGGCTGGGCTGCACTCCTCCAAATACATACAGCTCCTTCTTATAGAACGTGGCACTGTGGTACGCCAATGACGGTATATTTCCTTTTGCCTATCCCAACCCAAAACATCATAGGTATATACAACCGGAAGTAAATATCTGCTACACCAAAACATACACAAATCATAAGAAGAAATAAATGGTCTAATACTCACAGAAACAAGCTTCCATTTCCAAGTTATAGTGTCCAGTATATAAATATCACTGTATCGCTGGGCGTCTCTCTGACCACCGTACACATAAACAGCTTTAGACTCAGGATCAAAGGTTGCCGAGTGACCTTTTGAGATTGGTGGACTGACCTCAGACGATGAGACGTCCATGGGGAACCAGAAATCATTATCTGAGAATTATTACAGTTATAGGTATAGGTCATTATTAATAAGAAAATTGTAAAAGTAAAACAACAACAAAAAAAAAAGTAAAAGAAATGCCCCAGTTTGTGGTAAGAAACTTCTAGAAATATAATACAGTAAATAAATAATCTTAATTTAGAATGAATGAGTAAATAATTCTATATAATAATATTAATAATTAAATTTACGCAATAATAATTATATAATGTATATTTGCTTGAATATGCTTGTAAAGTCACAGTACTGCAATCATGCAACACTTCTTATTAAATATTAGCTGCACAAATCGGGGGGGGGAACATTTTGCAAATAGCAGTCTTTTAATTTTTCATATTGAATTTGAAAATGATACACACCAATCTCCAGTTTCCATATAGAATCTTTACAACTGGCCTGGTCATCAGCTTCTCCACCAATCAGAATGGCCGTTTCAGGATCACTCAAACACATGGCGTGGCTCCAGCGCTTTGATGGGCAGTCTGAGAATAATAAATAAATTAT